ATATCGAGCATTCTTATTTTTTTAATCTCCACAAAACATTTGTAGCTATTCTGCATTAGAACGTTGCTAACAGGCATTACGAAAACTGTTGAAGCTAGCTTGTTTAGCAGATTTGCCATTTTTACCTCTGAATTTCTGAGGCTACTGATTTGATTAATTATTTCTGGCTCACTTTATAATTACGCACCTTTCAGGTGAATAAATACGGTTAGAATGGAAGTATGGAATTCAGACAAAACAAAAACAGCAAAGTTTGATTTAAAAAATGTGATGGATTTGATAAGGTCCTAGCATTACCATCAGATTTAGCTTTTTTCATCAGAACTACTGGTGTTTCGATTCATTGGCCAGCGCTCATTATCCATCGATCCCCATGAAAAGTATGTGATCGACGTAATCTGCCTACAGAATGGAGGTGGACCGGCTGGTGTCCTGCTGCAGCCACAACCTGGTGCTAAACATGCAGAAGACAGTGGAGGTTGTTGTTGACTTTAGGAAGCCCCCCCCCCCCCCCCCCCCCCCACACACACACACACACACACACACAACCCTGTCTGACACTCCCATCACAATCACTGATGTTGCTTCCTGGGCACCACCATCACCGAAGACCTCAACCACCAGAGAATGTTCTTCCTGAGGCAGCTGAAGAAACACAACCTACAGTCGATGAGGCAGTTCTACACCGCAGTCATCGAGTCCATCCTCACCTCGTCAGTCACCATGTGGTACACTGGAGCCACCATCAGGGATACGAAGAGGCTGTGGTGTATTGTGTGCTCTGCTGAGTAGGTCACTGGCTGCAAACTCCCCTCCATACAGGACGTGTACACCTCCAGGACACTGGGGTGAGCAGCTCAGAACACAGCAGGCTCGTGTCACCCTGGACACAGTCTCTTCGACTCGCTTCCATCTGGCAGGATGCTCCGAACTATTCGGACCAGAACCTCTCGCCACAAAAACAGTTTCTTGCCCTCTGCGTCTGGACTCATGAATGACAATCGTAGACCTGCCCACTCCAGCTGCTTCGTTTCAGTCACATGACCCGATGTTGTGTTTGCACCTGAACTGACCCGCTCTGACCAGTATCTACTCTTGACTTGTATAAAGTAGCTGCTTCTCTAATTATTGTCTCCCAATATTATCTTCATTTCATTTTGTTTATTTCTTAATTCTAAGTTTTGCTCATCTTTTATCTTTTCGTGCACCAAGTTACGCAGCAATTTCCTAATGTTGTGATTCTCGTACACATGGCAACAAAACCCACTGCCCTCTCACTTAGAACCCTGCTACAGGAAATAAACAGATAACAGTAACGAATCATGTAAATCTTTGTCTAAATCTTAAAATGATACCTTCTGCTCCATTTGCACTGCTGAGAGCTTTAACCCTCTGGAGGCAGGCCTTGCAGATTAGCAACGTTAAAACCTACCCACCTGGTTACGCCACATACGTACTTCATGAGCATTTTTTTAACTCAGAAGAACCCTTGAAAGACTTAGTTGTTCGTCCTTGTATCAAAACTTATTTTGAGCCTGAGAGGGTTAATGTTACATTTAGAGTTTCTCAGTTTTCACGTAGGCTGAATGGTTGCTGCTTTCTGCTGCAGTACGCGGGTGTAGAGTCAGGCATCCTGGACATGATCATCCTGAGTGATTGAAAATAGTTGGGTTTTGTATTTTTCCATTGAAAACGTTAGTAAAAATAATTTAGTCAAAACTAAGTCACTGTTAAGGGTCCCTTTTTACAGATTAGCAGCACACAGCATAACCACATAAAAGTTACAGCCAATCCATGTGATCAGTATGATGGGCCCTCATTGGTGATCAGCAGCAGACAACCTGATGGAACCTCCTTCAACAGAATAATATGAAATGATATTACGATTGGGCCATACCTGGATCCCTACCTGGATCACCAAAAAAAAAAAACTGTTGCTAAATGCTGCAACCGTGCAAACACAACTCCAGAACATCAAAGTCTAAGTTAAATCTGATCCAAAGCTTTGGGACTTCCCGGCACATGGAACTGGTTTCCACGTGGTCTGAACAGTATCTTTAACCCCCCCCCCCCCCCCCCCCCACCACCACCACCACCACCCCGCTGAGGTAAGAGGCAGGTGTGCGCTTGTGCAGGTGAGAACACAACTCGCTGATTTTGTCCGCAGGAGCCTGACATCATCACATTCCTCTAGCCTTACCTAGACTTGCTGCACACACAAGCCCTGGACAACAAACACATTCAGCACCTGAACCACTTCCTCTGCTGTAATCTAAACGGTGTTATGTCACCTTTATCCTTTCTGATGGGATGAGATCAGCCTTACATTTACCCAAATCTCTCATGGAACGGCTCACGATCGGCTCATCTGGTCTGTCCAGACTAGACTCAGGTTCAGATTAGGGATTCAAACCCAAAGTGGGACATAAATCACATCAATGCACTGCCACCAGAGGGCAGCACAGACTGCAGCCATGATGAGACGATGCCTGCTCTCCGCAGCACCAGCATGGCTAAAGTCTGGTTTATGAAAATGTCTCACGCTCACCAGAGTCTCCATTTGGTCTCACTGCTGACTGATCTAGTCGCAATATTGATCAGACAGTGTATGAGCTTGGCCCGGCTGCTTATAAGGAGTGGTGTGAGGAGAGGAGAGGAGCCGATTCATTAATCTAAGTAAGAGATCTGACCACTAAACCAGCATTCTGCTACACAGACACTTGGAGTCAAAGGGCAAACCAAAAGCCAGATGGGGCGTTTGTTATGGTTTTTTTTCATTTGGGGCTTCAGGACTGGGGAAATAATACCTGTGTCCACATTTTCCTTAGTTAATATCCTTAATTCACTGGAAAACTGCAGATCAAGAGATGTGCAGCGTGATAAAATTGAATTCTGGGCTAATTTCAACCTTTTCAGTGAATTTGGAAGGAAACGCCCTGCTCACCATCATCCACAACATGACCCATGATCTAGAGTGTTATCACCACCGCTGGCGGCTCTGCTGAGCTCTTTGTTAGTGAGACAGCAGGTGTGCAATAACTCAGCCAACATACTGCCCCCCCAACCCTGTCAGAGACTGCCAGTTGCCATGGAGACTGGCTCAATGAAGCATCCATTTTACCCCTTCACCTCCTTCCAACGGCCTCATGAGGAGAGAAACTGGCCACCAGTAGTGACTAGCCCTGATTTTATTCAGAGGTTCACGAGTCAGCGCACTCCTCTGTGGTGTCACCATCCTTTTAGTTCCATCGGTGCACCAGTTATGCACCACTGGGTAAATGTTCATTATCAACCACAACTATGATAATTCAGGGTTAGGGTGCAAAATAAACCTAGAATCCCTTAAGATAAGTAAGTCTTTCATCTGTTGACTGCCTTTCAAGCACACACACAGTTCTAAGAGGTCTCTCCTGTTTTGGATTTTAGCCACAAATAAATGTTTTGATTGAGTAAACAACGTTCAAAATCAGACAATTTTTACCCGAGTCGACGCCCAAATCTAGGAAGTGGTTGTGGCGCCCTCAGCGACTACTGCTGAATTCGACTGTGACACCTGCTAATGGGGCTGAACCATCTATCGTTTTTGGACCAAACTTGCAATTTCAATCAACGCGATCACATGATGATTTTTTGTGCTTCTGACTGACCTGATCTGGGTTTTCCCCTGCGCAGGGGAGAGGGGTACCGGGGCTACAGCCGATAATGGTGGCTGTGGCCATCTGCTGCCAATGCCGTTTCTCAGCACCGTGGGTGAGTGAGGGACAGAGACGTCTCCAGCAGCGGACCAGGATTTACCATAATAACACTTTAGTGGACTTGAAGGCTCAACTTTTCTTCTTTAAAAAACGGTTTGATGTTTCTTCTGACGGCACACCGTAACTCGAACAAGCACGTGAAACATGTTGGTTCAGTGTTAGAGTGTAGAAAGAAAAACACAATCAGACGGCCCGGAGAAATGTCCAGGCAGCCGGCCTTGGTAAATAATGCAGGGATCACTCTGTGTGCATTTTTTAATAAATATGTTTCGAAGCTATTTCTACCTTCAGTTTTCTTCCTTGCATTGTTAGAGTAGAACCAGAAGAACATACCTTTTATTAACCGCCTCACTAGATAAAAGTCACAAGCTGCTCCAAGAACATATAAAAGATAAAAAAGAAAAACATGTTCTAATAATATGATTTCTATTACTGCACTATCAATTATGTGCTGTTTAACCTTGATGTGAATACAATTGTGAATCAAACTGAAACTAAAAAAGTAGGTTCATTTATGATTTACCAGGGGGGTCTGTTACTTCTCCACACATGGTCAGGTTGGTTTGGATAGTTTTTACCATCAATTGGACATTATTGTTTGTATTTATTCAGTTGTTTTTTTTTCTGATCTGAAGCTTTAGATTGATCATATTTATGTGATGCTGCTGAAAACGTGACATCACCCCTTCCTCTGGACTGCAGCATTTACTTCAAGTCATTAAAATGAAGGGAAACAAATTTAAAGTTCATTTATAACCGATAAGAGTCAGAATGTCTGATAATTAAATGAAACGGTTTGTTTTATCTGCAGGAAGATCCAATTCTGACTTGTGTAGGTTAGCCTGAAGTGACGTCAGAGCCGTAAGGGGGTTGTGCAGGTAGAGCAGACAGGGATGCTCTGACTGGGGGGTCGGGCTGCTGCTGCAGCATCAGGCCTGGTACGTAAACACGGACCTATCAGCGCTGTTAGCTGACAAACCGCTGCCTGGCCGGGATGCTACACCTATCATACCTACCATGCTCGACTCGCCAATGCTAAAATCACAAGCATGGTGTCATTAAACGTATATTAACATTACAATGTAATACATGTGTAATAATAATAATAAAGGAGGAAGTCGCTCTCTGCCGAACCTAGACGACGAGCGGGCAGCAGAAATAGCGGAATGTAGCTAGCTGCATGCTAGCCGACTCCGGCTAGCCGCTGAGCCCCTCCGCCTCCCCCCTCCTCCGGCCCGGACTCACCGATGTGATTGTCCTCGATGTGGACGATGAGCTCGGCCAGAGACTCGAACTGGAGACCGCAGCCCCCGAACCTGCAGGAGTTGGAGAAGAAAGAAGCGGCGGCGATGCCAGTCATGTTTCACGGCGCTGGTGGTGCATTCACCGGGAGGGGTGGAGAAGAAGGGTGGACCGGGAGCCGGGGTTGGTGAACGAGGAGGCAAAGGCTTCGGGTCCGGGACGGGAGCGGGGTAGAGCGTGGAGCAGACACCGGGCGGGAGGGCGGCCAGACAGGACGGGACAGCGGCGGACGCAGCTGGGAGGCTGGTGGTGGTGATGGGGGTGGGTGGGTGGGGGGAGGAAGTGTAGCGTTCTACGTCACGATGTGTTTACCTGTTGGAGTCAGCGCGCGCTGAGTATCAGCAGAAAATCTGAGCAGCATCTGTGATGCTCCCTCACTTATAACATCTGAGTGTTCTGGGATGATTTCAGAAACAGAGAAAACAAAAGGCAGAATTCACCATCTTAATTAGATATGTATGTTTTTATTTGAACACATTGATGTTTTTCAGTCAAAGCCTCACGTGGAGCTTAAAGATAATCGTATCATTTCAATGTAGATTAAACCACATCACCTGTAAATGATCAACTAAAATGACGTTTACATCAACCAAAAGAAAGGCACTTGTTTCAAGTAGAAAATTATAATGTTTTAATTAGTTTAAACCAAAAACCTTGATAAAATGACAAAGGCGGAACCAAGTGATTGATTTACAATGCAATTACTGTTTTAAAACAACTACAACCATTTATTCAGGTTATATTTTACTTTTTAATACAACCGATGTCAATGTAATCAGTCAGTTTGCCGCAGAATAACTCATTACTTTGTTTTAATGAATAATAAATAAACAACAATCATGTATAGATTTAAACATAAGAGCGGATTTGTCACAAAATAAACAAATTCATGCATAAAGGTTTTCGATAAAAGGAATAAAGTTGTTTCTACGTATAAATTTATCACCATCTTTCATGTCGAAGCTTTTTGAACAAACTCAGTTTGGAGAAATAGAGATAACATCTGAGCTAACAGCTACTTCAAGAAAAGATTAATACAAAGTTTTTTAAAATTTACAACATTTCCATGATTTCTCCTCCATCACCTCAGTTTTATATGATAGGCAGGTTTTAAATTACGAGAGAGCAATGGGAAAGCCCAGGGCCCCCAAAAGGGCAACCTTCACACACCCAGGAAGACCTCTAAAAAGGTCCAGCTTCTACCAATAATACATTACTTATAAGGATTTTCATCATACTGGGGTTTCTTTTGAGCTGATTGGCCATGCAGCTATGTCCATATATAGCCACAGGAACATTCTCAAAGTCCATCCTTCCATCCATTGTCCATTGTCTCCTCCCAGTTGGATGCGGCCAGAAAACCTCACCAGGGAGGCATCCAGGAGGAATATAACCAGATGCCTGAGCCACCTCAACTGGCTCCTCTTGATCTAGAGGAGCATGAGCATCTACTCTGAGCCCCTCCCAGATGACAAAATCTTCTCACCCTATCTCCAAGGAAAAGCCTTGGCACCCAGAACTAACTTTGGCCACTTTTATCCACAGCCTCATTCTTTCAATCACTACCCAGAGTTCATGACCTTAGATGAGGGTTGGAACATAAGGTTGAACGTCTTTTCCAAATCCACAAAACACTTGTAGATCAATTGGGCAAACCCCTATATACCCTTCGGGACTGCCATGCCATTGAGGAGCTTTTTGACCACCTCAGTGACCTAAGCACCAGAGGTTGGAGAGCCCAACCCAAAGTCCCCAGTCCCAGATTCCTGACTGGAAGATGTGCTGATTGAGAAGGTCTTCAAAGTACCCCGACCACCAATCCACTACATCGTGAGTCGAGGTCAGCAGCACACCATTCCCACTATAAACAGTGTTGGTAATGCACAGCTTTTCCCTCCTCTGCCACCAGAAGGTGAACCAGAATTTCATCGAAGCTGTACAGAAGTCTTGCTCCATAGTCTCACCGAACTCCTCCCACACCCGGGTTTCTGCCTCTGCGACTACCCAAGCCGCATTCCACTTGGACTGCAGGTACCTATCAGCTGCCTCTGGAGGCCAAAGACCTGATAGGACACTTTATTCATCTTGACAGCATCTCTAACTGCTGGTGTCTACCAAGTTTGGGGGCTGCCGCCACAACAGGCACTGATGACCCTGCGGCGGCATCCTCCCCCACCATCGATGCAGACACCACCAGGTAGTGGTCAGTTGGCAGTTCCGCCCCTCTCTTTACCTGAGTGTCCAAGACATGAGGCCGCAGATTACAACAAAGTTGATCATTGAACTGCGACCTAAAGGCACATATAGACACGTTTATGCTTGAATGTGATCTTCATTATGGACAATCCATGAAGAGCACAGAGGTCCAATAACAAAACAGTGTTCAGGTTTAGACCAGGAGGGTCGTTCCTCCCAACCATACCTCTCCAGGTATCACCAATGTAAGATGGTGTTTGTTCATGTAAGGCCCTATAGACCAGAACCAGGATCTTGAAATGAACCCTGAAGTTGAATGGCAGCCAGTGAAGCTGGAGGAGAAGCTGGGTGATGTGAGTGTGCTTGGAGGACTTGGTCAGAAGCCGAGCACAGGCATTCTGAACCACCTGTAGACGGTTCAGGGAGGTTCTGCTCAGACACGTGAAAAGAGTTACAGTAGACTAAGCGTGAGGAGATGAAGGTGTGGATAACAGTCTCAAGTTCAGAGCAGGACAGAATGGGACTAAGCTTAGCAATGTTCCTGAGATGGAAGAAGGAAGAGCGAACAAGAGAACTGACATGAGAATCCAGGGTGAGCGATGGGTCAAAGGTCACGCCAAGATTCCAGATGGAAGGTTTGGTGTGAGAAGCAAGCTGACCAAGAGAGTCTCTGACTTTGAGAACCAGCTTGTCTGGGGCACAGATGAGGATCTCAGTCTTATCTTCATTCAGCTGAAGAAAGCTCCCAGCCATCCAGGTTTTGATAGAGTCTAAGCAGGTGTGTAACAGCTGCAGCTTAGACATCTCATGGGGCTTAAAGGAGATGTACAGTTGGATGTCATCTGCATAAAGATGATACGAGATTCCTTTGAAGGAGCTCAGGATGTGCTGAAGAGGAAGCAGATAGAGGAGGAAGAGCAGAGGCCCCAGCACAGAACCTTGTGGGACACCATGGGTAAGAGAGGTGGCGGAGGACCTAAACTTGGAGACGGCCACAGAAAAGGAGTGCTCAAAAAGATAAGAGGAGAACCACTCCAGAGCAGTTCCTGATAGACCTACCCAGTCTCTCAGCCTCTCCAGTAGCAGGTGATGGTCAGCAGTGTCAAAAGCTGCAGCCAGGTCCAGCAGGACCAGAACAGAACAGTCCCCTGCATCACTGTGAGTCAGAAGGTCATTAGAGACCCTAAGAAGAGCTGTTTCAGTACAATGAGCTATAAGAAAACCTGACTGGAAGCAATCATAGATGTTCTGTTCATCAAGAGCAGCTGTGAGTTGTTTAGCCACAACCATTTCCAAGATCTTGGACATGAATGGAAGTTTAGAGATGGGTCTGAAGCTGCTATGGAGAGAGGAGTCGAGACTCGTTTTTTTAAGAAGCGGGTGGATTACAGCGTTCTTAAAGTAAGCAGGGACCTGACCAGAAACCAGAGAAGCATTAATTATAGAGAGCACGCTGGGACCGATGGACTGAAAAGCACTTTTAAACAAAGATGAGGGTAAGATGTCGAGGGGGCATGCAGAGGTCTTCATAGAGTTAACTAGTTTGGTTAACTCAGGCAAAGAAACCGGAGCAAAGCTATCTAGGATGATGGGCCTGGTTGGAGTTGGGAGAGGCAGCGATAAGGCTGAAGGAGAGATGCTAGATCTAACCTTATTGACTTTGTCCACAAAGAAAGACAGAAAGTTCTCAGTCTGCAACAGAGTGGATGGAGGCTGTAGGAGAGGCAGGAGAGACAATGCTGCTGATGGTGTTAAACAGCACCTTGTGGTTCCCTTTGCTCTGGGACACCAGGTTGGAAAAATAGGCAACCCTAGCATCTCTGACTGCAGAGGTAAAGGATGTCAGAAGATCCTTTAGGTGCAGCAGATGGACGTGGAGATGGGTTTTCTTCCACAAGTGCTCAATGTTTCTGCATTGGCGCTTCAGGCTGCGAAGGCTGTCATTAAACCAGGGAGTAGGGTTCACTGCAGGAACTGATCTGGTTCTGACAGGACAGATGTTGTCCAGAATGGAGAGGCAGTGCTCGTTAAACTGAGAAGTTAAGGAATCTGGGTCGTTATCAGAAGAACAGGGTGGATAAAAAGCAGCAGAAAAATTGCTAGCTGTGCTCTCATTAAGAAAACGAGAACGAACCATACGGCGAGCAGGAGGTGGGGACGCAGAAACTGACAAGTTAAAGAAAATGCAATGGTGATCTGAAATATAAATGTTCTCAGGACAAACACTGTCAGCATTTAGACTCAGGGTAAAAACAAGATCTAGGGTGTGCCCCCTGGTGTGTGTGGGGCCAGAAACATGCTGGGTAAAGCTGAAGGAGTCCATGAGGCTGGAGAAATTCATGGCAAACTGATCAGAGGGATCATCAACGTGGATGTTAAAGTCACCAACAATCACCAGTTTGGACAGCTTCACAGTGGAGGACAGAAAGTCACTAAACTCCTGAAGGAAAGAACTGTTTGGACCAGGTGGACGATAGACCACAGCACAGTAGAACGGGTCCTTACGCCCGACTTTAATCAGCTGCAGTTCAAAGGAAGCAAAGTGACCAGAGGTTGTAGAGCTACATGGAAGATGGTCTCTGAAAACAACAGCTAGGCCTCCACCACGACCAGAACCCCGGGACTGGCTAAGAAAAGAATAACCACTCGGACAGAGTTCAGTCAGACCAGAGCAGTCAGATGTTTGCTGCCAAACTTCAGTCAGAAACAGAAAATCCAGGTTTTTAGAGAGAATTAAATCATTGAGCAGGAAGGACTTATTGTTAACAGAGCGGGTATTTAATAGAGCCATGCTGAGTGAGGAGGAGGAATCAGAAACTACAGAAACAGCTGGAGTTAGTGGACGTAAATTAGCAGGGTTAGATCCACGGTGTTTATAAAAACCACTTATGGAGGGAACAGGAGGAGAAACCACTGAGGAAAGAAGATAAACCGACCTTAAGAAGCTTGGATGGAGAAACTGCGCTGCAACGCGGCCTGGTGGGAATGCGGAAGTGGTGCTCAAGTCGCCAAACAAAGGACAAGAAGCTAGAATATCACGTCAATATTTACTAGATAAACCACGTTTTAAGAGAAGTCTTATTCT